TGTGCTGGAATTCCACATGTAATAGTGCGTTTAAGGCCTCCACAGCCTCATTTTTCAGTTTATGTATTTATTTATTTATTTAAAAAGAAAAACCTAGTCTTTCCTTCCGAACAAAAAAAAAGAAAAAGAAAAGATTGATCACAAATTCATTTCAAGTAATCTAACTGAATTTTTTGAGTTGAACTACAAAACAGGATTGAGTCCGATTTTATTATTATCTTGAATTTTCAATGAGTATGAAAGTAAATGAAGAACAAATAAAAGATGAACAGCTCAACTTATGTTACTTGATGTATTCATAAGTTACAACACCGATATCTGCCGGCTATATCAGCTAATATTTTGGGACTTGGTTTTGTAATTTTAAAATTGATATCAGCTAATATTTTGGGACTTGGTTTTGTAATTTTAAAATTGATCTGGTCAGCCTGTCAGCTTCTGATGAAATTTGTTATTTATTGTGCCATACACTCATTTATGTCGTCAAGAGTCTGTCGATTTGTTTTCCAAGGAAACAAGAATGGTTTGCACAATGGTATCTGAAACTGATTTCCTTTCTTGCAGGTATCAAAAGCGGGTTTCTAACATTATAGACGATGTGCTCGAGTGGTCTCCAAGTCTAGCTTTGTCAGGCATGATAGAAAAGCAACCTGTGGTGAACATCACCGAGCCTATTGACAATGTAACTGATAGCAAGAGTAGCGATGAGAAGCTATTTTCCTCGGGTGATCTAGATGATGAAACCATATCCAATGAAGAAGTTGAGGAAGTTACTGAAAATACAGAAGACAGTGATCATCACCAAAACATATAATTTATAAATGTTAGAACATGTTGTACCCAAAGATATGAATTGTTAGAACATGTGTTTTCAAGGTAGCAGCTCGAACACAATGAAGTCATTGTGAGTAACTCTATTGGTGTAAAATTTGATATTTTGGATATGATACAGTGCTGCATTTTGGGTGGATAGGAGCTGCAATCTCCAAAATAATGGTTCAGACTTCAGAGAAATTGATTAAACCTGTGGTCCCTTGTTGAACCCTTCTTTGGTCTGCAGCTACAATATGCTGGGGACAAAAGTGTGTGAGATAAGCAAAACATGTGAGAGTGACGAAGATGAAACTTCTTATTTTTTTCTTTTTTTTTAGAGAAAAAAGACGTGATTTATGCGGGGTAGTTTGTTTGCACCTCGACTAATTCCTCTAGATACTTATTATCTCTTAACATCAATAGATATAACGGGTTAGAATGGACTTTATGGTGTTAGGCCACACCCTTGGGAGCTAACTTAGAAGCATTTTTCAAAAGTTTGATCAAATACTAATTGCTATTTAGAAGTACTTTGAGTTTATTGATCAAACGCATTACCACAAATTGTTTATAACCAAAGTAAGGGTCGCCACTCTTGTGAAAAACTTCTATGGCATGGGTCAAAAAAATTGGATAGTTAATATATAAGATACTCTTGTGAAAAATTGGATAGTTAATATATAAGAGAACGATAAGTGATCGTTTTTAGTTTTTTTTCTCATCTTTTTTGTTGCTTGTTGCAGCACAAGCTCATCTCTTATTACTATTTGTCTCCAATATATGTATGACATTGTTCTTCTAACCATATTGATGATGAAATTCAGTCTCTGAATATTAATACATAGATTGTTCGATATCCTTATCAACGAGCTTGGTCGAGACATTCTGGTCATTACGATGTTGCCGATGAGTTGAAAGAAAAAGACAAAGTTAAAGCTTCTTTTGGCCGAAAAGGATCATACATCGAAGATTGATGTCAACAGCTCGCTCAAACCTGTGGTCTAAGGTCAAAATCAAACTAGAGGGCTTTAAGAAAATAAAAAAATTATGAAAGTTTTTATTTTAAATCTATTTTTCTAGATTTTTGAGATGCAAGTTGTTAATAATTTTTGTATAGTCAATCTCTTCTAATAATTCTTTTTCAATCATAATATAGCCAAACAACTCGATCTTTCTTTAGACATTGTTGATCTTAAATAAGATTTTATTATTTTTAAATTTGAAAAACTTTTATTTCTGCTGAGACGATTGTTACAATTAACATTATTCTATAAATATTGTATTTTGAAAAAAATTCTAAGCTTTTTATTTAATTGAGTATTTCAATTAAAGATTCAAGTCATTTTGTTCAGGAAATCCAAACTTTTATTTAATTGAGTATCTCAATTAAAGATTCAATTTTTTTCTTCAGGAAATCCAAACTTTAATTTAATTGAGTATCTCAATTAAAGATTCAAGTTTTTTTTTCTTCAGGAAATCCAAACAGAACAGTATCAGTTATGAGATATTAGATGAGGATAGTCACCAATTCATTTATGAGATATTAGATGATAATAGTCATTATTTCATTAACAAACTTCGCATTGAGCAATACTGGTAATAATATAAACGAAACTTTGCATTCCACTAGATGACCAATATATACTAGTAATATTATTACTGTGAAGGCCGTTCCGTATTCTACTATATCAGCAATACTAGTAATAATCTGAAGGTTAGAATATCTGATGGCTTCAAATTTTTAAAATGTGCATACATGATATGATATATAAAAGATCGAAAGGAACTTTTTGTAATATGCAGAAGTGATGGAATATTTTGAGACTTTTCTTAATGTATATCGATAGGATTAGTTTGATGTAATTATTTATAGAATGTGGATTCTTTTTTAATAGTAGATATTATTAGTTTCATGTAATTATTGGAGTGTCTACTTTAGAAAATTCTAATACTTAATAAACTAGTTCTAATATGTACACCTTTAATATTATACATTGTAAAAAAATTTGTTTAAATTTAAAAATTCAAAAAGTATCACGTGAAATAAAATGAGAAAGAGTGTGTTATTATTCTTGTGCACAAGGAAAATTGTGTTACTTGTGATCAAGATTGCTGTTGTTAGTTGAATGAAAAATAAATATACAACGAACATGTCCTAAAATTTTAGATCTTCAAAGGTCCTTCTAAGATAAGATTATATGCATTTGGTTAATAACAAAATTACTTATAACTCGTGTTACGTTCGTCTCATATTAGATGAATATCTTTATTAAAAATAGTTGGTATATACTCTGTTGATTTACTATTTTTAATAGATCATTCTAAATATTAATAGTTTATCCATAATACGTGTCATTTCATCAAATCAACCTACAAATTACAATATTCTTGTGCACAAGGGAAATTGTGTTACTTGTGATCAAGATTGCTGTGTTAGTTGAATGAAAAATAAATATACAACGAACATGTCCTAAATTTTTAGATCTTGAAAGGTCCTTCTAAAATTATATGCATTTGGTTAATAACAGAATTACTTATAACTCGTGTTACTTTGGTCTCATATTAGATGAATATTTTTATTAAAAAAAGTTGGTATATACTCTGTTAATTTACTATTTTAATAGATCATCCTAAATATTAATAGTTGATCCATAATACGTGTCATTTTGTCAAATCAACCCACAAATTACAATATTTTTGCTATTATACCCTTGATAGTTAATTAGTCTTAAAAATAAATATTTAATCAACCTAGAACAACTGATAAGTAATTAATGTTCATTGTAATTACTTATACATTGAGTAATTACTCTCCCAATTGCATTACTCTATAAAATCTGATTTTGAAAAAGAAATCTCAAGAAACAAATTAAAAGTAAAAGATGAATTTATTTATCATTTTTTAAAATTTGACTTTAAAAAGACATTAAATAAGCGATGGAACCACGAATTAACATAGTTTCTTAACACAAATAAAATAAAATACTGCGACACATAAAAAAAATGAAGAAAGTAATACTCCTCCGTCAAACAACAGTTGTCCACTGTATATTATTAATTCCAAAGATGTGTCTGCAAAAACGTGAACGCCTTAACTATAAAATCATTTTCAAATACCAATGTTCTTCAACATTTGATATTCAGGCTGTGTTTGTTTTCTGGAAAAAGAAACAAATTTGTTTTTTTTCTTTAATTTTTTTAGGTCAGTACAACAAAGAGCTGTAGTATGGTTTAACTATCAAAGTTATTTTTCAAAATATATGATATGAAAAAATTGGAGAATGTTGCTAAACACACCCTTGATCACTTGGAATCGTTTGATTGAGAATAAATTATTCCAGAATTAGTTACCCTAAGACTGGGGTTTACTTTTCTTGAATAACTTATCCATCCATATATATATGTAATAACTTAGGGCCCGTTTGAATGGGCTTAATAAAAGCAGCTTTAAAAAAGTACTTTTAAAAGTGCTGAAACTTATTTTTAAAATAAGCAGTTATGTGTTTGAATAAAAGTGCTGAAGTTGTTATGTCAAACGTGAAAAGGGAAAAATGGAAGAAAGAAATGTTAGGATTATATGGGTAATTTGGAGATTGTATAAAAATATTAAGCACAAAAAGATAAAAATGTGGTCAACTTAAAACAGCTTATAAGCTAAAAAAAAAAAAGCACCCCTACCCCTACCCCAGCTTTTAACTTTTGGCTTAAAATAAGTTTTTTTTTAACTTAAAATAAGCTGTTTTGAGTATTGCCAAACAGCTAAATAAGTCAAAAATCAGCTTTTAAGTCAGTTTGACCAGCTTTTAAGCTGAGCCAAACAGGCTCTTATTCCATCACAATGATAAAATTATCCCAAACATAGCAATCAAATAAAATACATAGCCTTAAACCCACCCCACCTCGCCCCATTGATGAATTACGATGGGTAGAACAAATAAATAAATTAATGCCCAAACCTGTTTCAGAGTTCATCTGGATCAAGATGGGGTTGATCAAAATAAGATAAATAATAGGTTGCAGCCCAACTTGACCCTTATGATGCAAAAACCAAGTTGCATTAAGACCTACAAGCTCTTCAAATATTATTCATAAAGAGGGACGCGCTTGAGCACACCTTAATATCACGTCGAGGGTTCAATGTTATGGTGATTGGGTTAGAATCCGAAAGGAGGACAAAGAAGCGGATGTGCTCAAAACTGTATCATCCATTCTGTACAATAGCATTGACCTTCACTGTTATAATATGGACTGACTGGACATATTTGCACACTTTAACCTCAAATATGTCATTTCATCCTACTGTATCTATGATAACAGATCAAATCACATCAAAACAAACCAAACTCAGAAATTAATGCAACAATTAGGGAAAGAAAAAAGATACGTATGCAAAACTAACAACCTTTTTACATGGTCTCCTAAACTAAAACTACAGTAACTGGCCAAACATAAACTTACTGAAAAACTTTCTAATCCTAGTTCTAAGTTCATCCATCTCTGTACATAAGGGAAGATGTAATCTCCAAGCAAATGCTGCAACACTGATACGCTCGTCACCTCTGTTGCTCCCATTAACACTAAAGTAAAAAGCCAAGAATGAATTGCCGCCTAGCTTGAAAAGCCAAGAAATGAAACAATACCTGTAAACTCCTCTTGTTCATACTCTAGCCTCGTTGCAGTGCAAGAGCTAGTTTAGACATGAACGTATCTCCAATTACTTGACAGAAAAACCTCCTTCCCTGCTTTCAGCAGACTGGTACTCATCCTTTGATTCTTGAAAGCTACTTTGATTGCCATAACTGCTACCATTTGAATAAGACTGCTGAAGCTCGGCCAACCTTCCATTTTCATTCCTCTTTTGAATATCAGCAGCATTGAACTGCAAAGGTTCAGAACCCGATGAACTCACAGAACCAGTACCCTTAGAAGCATCTGTCTTTTTGGCAAAACGTCCACCCGAGGCCCTTACCCTCCTCAGTGCATGCTGATGTCGAGACTCGTGAAGATATGGCTGTAACACAGGGAAAGGAGGATGTGTAAAAAACTTTGAGAATGCAGCAGATCATCAAACTTCAGAAATGACTACTAATGTCATCACATTATATACGACACGAGGGACCTACTAAAATAACAAATATCAACCCTAAAAGTTGTGACTCCGTTCAGTATTACTGACATCCTGATATAGTTATAGCGAGGATACAAGTAAAAAATATTTATGCGGAACTAATGGTACAAGTCTTCACTTCAACGATACAAACTCATGCAAAAGCTGGAATAAGAAAGCGGAGGGGAACGATAGCCAACTGTGAGCAAAAGTATTGCATCTCAGATCATATTTTTTAAAACAAACAGTGGAAAAAAGTGTTGTAGATAGCCTTTCTTATTTCTCCTAGAGAAGTGGGGTGGATTAAGGGGCACTAACTGCTAAACACTATTTATTTTGCTTGAAGTAGAGAAAAACATCAGTTCTTACACTCCCCCCTCCCCCTCCCCGGCTAAAATATAAAATTCTTCATACATGCAGAGTTCCCTTGCATGCCCACAGGCAAACCAGTCAGATAATATGGAAATCCATTCAGACTTTAGACACATCTGCCATCTGCCTCTGCACCATTTGGAATAGGTACAAGAACTTGGCCAAAGTTCCATATATCTCCAGAAGACTAATTTCATGTAGTAAGTCCTAGTAAAACGGTGGCAACGAATTCCGGAAAACGAGGAGAAGAAAATTGAAAGAGTGACCCCATGAGAGAGCACGTACTAACCTTTCTACCCTTTATTTGCTTCTTTTCAAGTTCTGCTTTAGCACGTGACTGTCTTCGCTGCAGGATCCTTCGATACTGCTTAGCATTAACATAAACTGGTTCTTGAGCCATTTCTTGTGGCAAGGGCATCCTTGCATAGTGCATATCAAGTACATGAGGAGGAACCTGAATAGTGCAACAGTTGGTAAGGACTTCTAAAGAAAAACTCACCATAGATTTAGAGCAAACACTAAGTAATCTGGCTAATGAGCATGTCGAGTTTGCCCACCAACCAGATAATACCTTGGCACAACTGACATCATGATGTCTTTCCATATCATGTTTCAGTTGTCTTTATATGTTCTATTTTGTTCTTTTAATAAACATGAAGCAATAAGAATATTGGAGAATTCATTTTGCGAGCCTCAATATGTTGAGCAATGTAAAGACATGTCATAATGCACACTAGAGCTTTTTTGTACAGTATGCTTAATGGACAATTGTTACGCAAGGGCCGTAAGTTCACTTTTTCAGAAAGGCATAATTCTAACATGTCATAGGAGTAGAGTCATTCAACAAGCAACGATCAAGTTAAGAGGTATCTAGTTCCAATGAGATTCAGGTTTCTATACTGAAAACCAGAGGGGGCCAACAATGATTTTCATATGAATCTTCACGTCTATTAATTAGGATGAACTGGGGTCCTGTAAAGAAGTACTATATAGATTACAGTTGACCAAGTTGTTGACTTAAATATGGTACCAAAGCCTTCCCACCCAGAAACCAAGAGATCCAAACACCCTTTTTTACGCAATGAGTTGTAACGTTCTCTTCTTTTTTAGATTCCCCTTCTGCCCAATAGCACAAGCTCCCTCTATTAAACCATTTTGGCATCGAATGCCACCAGAAATTCTTAGATTTATTATATTATATTGAACTTGGGTAAATCTATCTCAATCGCTCTGGTTGGAACTTTAATGAACCACTCAAATGATGGTGTCCGCAATATCCAATAATTGTGCTGGAATTGTGCATCAGTAGCACCATTAAGGTGATGTACAACTTTGGACCAAAAAACTTGCACAAGAAATAGGTCATCCCAGTCTTCCTGAACAATAATGATGAAAGTATATACAACAAACTCCTGGAAGCAAGTAGCGCCGAGAAGAAGAGTGTTTCTAAAGCATCACTAAAGTGGCAAGAAGCTAGTAGAGGCTCAAGAGAGGACCAAGACAAATCTGATTTCACAATTTTCAAGCACTGATGTGTTCTGGTCCAGAAAGATATTATACTAAAGTCGCTCACATTAGCAGCAAGAACAATAATATTGAACGAAACATGAGATAACCTCTCTCTTTTAAGAGCTTAGGTAAAAGATTTTAATACACAAATCAAAGAATAAAATTTGACTTGAAATATTTAAATGTGTATACCAAAGGCTGGCCAAAAGCTGTCATCATCCCGCCATAGTATGGATCAACATATGGGTTTGGAGCACACGCCTGGTAGCCAATCAAACAGAATCACTTCCACATGAGTCATAAGACATTATCAATGAAGCAACTCACCAAAAATGATAATTATAACAGATCTCAAAACCCATAAAAATGGTCAAACATACAATAGAGTGTCCAACAAGTTCAAGCTGCTGGGGCTGTGCTAGGCTTCCATCAAGTCTTGGAGGTATGGCTGGAGCAGCTGGCTGAAAATTCTGATCCGCCTTCCCATAACTCCCATCTGATCTTGAAAATAGATCTCATTAGTACCAGTCACATAATCCATACATTAGGACATTTATTGCATACCTAATGTAAGTGGATAAAACGTAACCTTTCTCCAGAAGTTTGAACTTTAAGATGCAGGGTGTATTTTTTTCTTCATCTCAGAAATTTTAGGATTCAGTAACATGGATAGGAGTTTCAGTACAGCATGAAAAAATGTGTAAATATGGTTAGACATACAATACCATATATGCATAATAAATAACAAGTAATAGGGATGGGATCCCCTCCAGTAAGATCAATGCAGTTGTTGATTTATGGCACTTGTCTGTCTACAAATTAAAGGTTTGGACTGTAATCCTCTTTTTTGTTCTCCCTCATTATCACCCACTTCCCAACATTAATTTACTTACATCTTTATGTACAATTCTCTTCTAGTCTTAAGATACCCCAATGAACATAACGACGGAGTTTCACTATATCTGGCTGCCAGAATTTGGTTTCAGTGGCAGAGCCGCAGAGGCTACCTCACCTACCAAAGCCTTTTTTTTGTCAATTTCAAAAAATAAATAAATCTATAAACAAAAGAGCAAACCAAACCCTTATCATCTCCCTGTCCACATACATACAGAAATTGCTTTTGCGCAATGAAGTTGAAGCTGCTATGATAAGAAAGAGGACTCAGTTGCAAATGGGTTTAGGGCAGTGAAATTCTAGGGAAGAAAGAAGAAAGCTTTTCTGAAATTGCACAGAAATATATAAATAGATAATATTGGAGGTAAGGAATGGTACTGGAATTGCAGTAAAACCTGCACTTTTAGAGAGACGGAATGACATATTTAATGAAAGAAAAACAAGATTTGGAAATTCATGACGGTGGAATATGGAATTGAAACGTAAGCCTATAATTTATAGATAGACACCTGTCCTAAATCAAAGACTCCATTGATCATTACTGGAGGGGATTCAAAGGGCTATAGCAATCCAGTTTTCAATTAATTTTTTTTGTTAAAACCCATTTATACTGGAGGGGATCCAAAGGGCCACACTAACTCAGTTTTCAATTTTTATTTTTATTTTGCTCACACACATTTTTATGAGTATGCCAAATAAGCTTTAGTTTAAGTTGTGGTAAAAAACTGGCAGATTCTTTTGTTCTTCTAGATCTTGCTATAACAAAAAAAGGAACTCTACATGTGGCTTACACTTACTAATGACCCTATCAAATAAACAAGCATGTTCCATCACATTTTAGAAGCTCAATCCATCTGCAACTAGCACGAAACCCCTAGCATCCACCCTTAACAGTTAGTTATTAGTTACTACCAACAGGAAAAAGCAAGGAAATGCTAGCCTCCCTACTCGGTTTCTTCAAACTTCCTGCCAACCTACAGAACTCTGTCTCTAAATTAAAAAGGAGTAGCTTCATAAATCTGTGTTTGCTTGATGGAAGCAGGAAAAAACGGTTTTTGTTCTTCATAATATGTGATAGTTTAAATCAGGTACCCATCTTCTCCTTTTTCCTTCTCTGTGTTCTGTTTTGTCTGCCACCTCTTCTTCTTCTTCTTCTTCTTTTTATTCCCTGTTTCACTTTCACCTTCATTGATCAATGAAACTCCACGGAATGTTGATTGAATATGCTACGAAATTCCCTAGATGTACTGTGTCAACATGATACTGGTCGTCAAAGAAAATTGAAGACTCCATGCAACAGAGGATGGTTTACACAATCAAGAATTTACGGTCATGAGTAACTGGTGTGTGAAAGCTGGCCCGAACAGCACATTCATGAAAAAAAAATATTATTTGTTACATATTATATTATACCCACGCATCTATTAGCGGTTTCCTGGTGCTTGTACCCATACTCCGATCCATCACCCTCAACTACTATAATGACGAATCCGATTCTAGATCTTCACCCATATCAATTGCTTGCAAACAAGAAACATAGGTTTTCTTATGTGAGAGTTTAAACTTTTAACCAACTTCTTTATGATTGCTTGTGCAATTCTAAATCACTAAGAAAAAGACACAAAAACTCCACAAGGAAGTGTATTTCAGGCACTTTGCTTACCTGGAAACCATATGATACCAAAGTAATAATAAGATCAATAACATATTTTACTAGATGCAATTAGCAAAAAGAAAATATTTTCAAAAAAGTAAAAAGGTCAGTGAAATGCTTGTCATGTACACCAAGATATTTAGCATGTATAATAGTATTAATAAGATTGCTCTTCAAAAAATGGATTAAGCAATACAATTTGGGCGGACAACAAAGGACAATTACTTGGTACTTCTCACAAAAGGTAAAAAAGTCAGACTCTGTCTCTCTATCAATGATCATGATTATTTTATCACAAGAAACATTAAAAATTAAAGATGTACCTGCATGCAAAGGTACGACACTTTGTGATTTTTCAGGAGCATCATCATCTTCCTCATTGATTCCACCATCAGACTGAGATTGGCCATCCACGGATTGTTCCAATGATGATGAATCTGATGCATTTTCCCGCATCAACCCAGGGGAAACAGGAGTATAAACAGCACCATTCCACCAAGGTTCAGGATATACAGTGGAACGTGGAACATTATATGCATTGGTTTCCTCCCGATTTGTGCTTTTGGAATTTGATGGCATACTGCTGTAGTTTTACTCTCAGAGTTCCACAATATGAGTGTCCTAATTACAAAGACAAATAACCAGTTCAGGGAATTTATTTAAAGAAAAGCACCTCCATATGCAGTTCTAGCTACTGAAACCACACATGCAGATGTCTTCTAAATCTACACTTTAATGGAGGGTACATGGGATTCACTGACTAGCGTTTAACAATGGCCTTCATCTTCACTTGAAGAAAATGCTTTGACCTTTTCAAATCTAGTGTACGTAAGTAACTAGAACTTCAAGGAATCTCGGCATACTTCACAAGATTAACTAACGGAGAAAAAAGACACCATGGTTTTTATTTTTTGAACAAGTGGTGATTGAACCAGCTTATTCACACATCGACTATTACACGGGTACCTACTACCTTCCACCAATGTAACTACTAGGTAACACCTGCCCACCTCCAAGGCTTAGGTAAATAAGAAGAAGTTACCTGGCATGTTTTGTCTCTCGTCTCTGTTGAGACTTGAAACGTCTCCATAGTTTTCATCTCATATTATTGACTCTTAGACCCTCAGATACCTTAATCCTGGCAAATTCACCCAAGGGAAAATCAAAAGTAAAATTTTCGGTGCTCCCAGCAAAACCCAGCTCCAAAGACAATATTGTTAGAGGTTGATTTGAGGAGTGGTTAGACCTTGAAGCTACGTGAATTTCAAACTGAACACTCATCTCACTTAAGCAGCACTTTAGCACAGGTTCGATTCACTAAGGTGTACCTCATCATCCCCAAATCCCACCTTGAAAATAGTGGTACTAGACAATATATATCTTGGCAAAATAACATCAATTGTCAAAGAAATGGTTTTGAACTTACTTTACATGCTTTAAAAAATAAATACAATACTAGTCCTGTAACCTGAATTAGAAATCTAAAACTGAATATTCAAACCTAAATCAAGATCAAATGGCCTTGAACTTACTTTAAATGCTTTATTTGACATATTTCACTTATTTAGTCACTTTTTCTTGCATTACATGTTCGTGCTTGTGCGTTTCTGGAATTGTTCTTCTTCATTGCCTATATCTTTATCAAACAATCTTTGATTACAATTTAAACCCCTACGAGCTTTCGGCACTTTCTTATGCTTTTTGCTTTTGACAACACTGCTTGCAACTAGTAAAGAATTAATTTCCCCTATTGATAAAATGAAACATCACACATTCTCCCTACCTCATCTCGAAATTCAAGAATTATCTATAATAAAAGGGACTAATCGAATGAGAATCTGCACCTCCGTAGGAGCTTTCATATAGAGCAGCTTCATGCACAATAGCTATCAAAGAACAACTATGATTATTCTTTACTTCGGAGTGGCCCAATTGAGTTTGAGACTTCCATGTGGGAGGTCTCGAGTTCAATATCCCTTTGAAAGCAAGGGGTTTGCCTTCTGGGTCAAGCTCGTCGCACCAAACTTGCTGCGCCTAATGCGGGTTACCTAACCTATGTGGTTTGCGAGCTATTGCATAGGAGAGGGGTTTTGCCTTGTGCGCACATAAAGGGGGTAGCGGCTGCAATTTTCCGTTGTCATCAAAAAAGATTGAACCACCCATGAGAAAAAATGGATTAGAAAAACCTAAACCCACAACTTCTAACACCAATCCCATAATCAGTATATTTCCTTTTTCAAGAATTCAGAAATACCCATTTAATCAAAAAGGGAATACAGAAACAACATCATATCGAAACACACATAAAGATTGTAACTTTTCAAGAAATTAGAGTTACCCTTTTTCCAATAACAACAACAACAACAAAGATAAAACATGGATTTCAACAGAAACACATAAAGATTGTATCTTTTTGAAGAAAATTCGATACCCATTTCATGAAAAAGCTGAAATCATGAGAATTGAAGAAAATAAAAAACACCCAATTCAAAGAAACTTACCTGCACGTAGGAGGTATGAGAGAGAAGAGAGAAGAGAGAAGTGATGAGTGATTAGTGATTGATAAAAAAAACACAAGCCCTAGAATTTTGGGTAGAAAAAAGAGGGCAAAATTGAGCAGTCAATGAGCTTTTTTTGACAAAATTTTATTATTATTACTATTATTATGCGATACTATTATATTACGTAGTACGTAAAATTGATGATTCAAAGAGATCGGTACAGAGTTGATGTGATAAAGTCACATGTGGAAAGATCTAGAATGTGTACCTCTCATCTACGCATGTCCAAGACTTTATAAACTTCCTTTTCTCTTTCTTCTACTCCTTTGGGTTCTTTTTGCTCTTCATCTTAACTATAATATAGGAAAATACTATGACACGAGATTTGAAAATACAATTATCGAAAGTCATAGTCTAGAGTCAAATATCAGGTAAGAAATTAAGGTCGAGATTTGAGTCTCGAGTCAAAGTTGGATTATCAAGTCGGATATAGAGTTGGATTTGGATATCGAGTCAAATCTCGAGTTAGGAGTTGAGTCTTGAGTAAACGACGAGTGTCGGTTCCTAAGCTAAGGTCGAGAGTCAAGGTCTCGTGCTTGGGATCAAGAGTCCATAATTGAGTCATGCTTATGGTCTAGTTCGAGTATCAAATCCTAAGTTGCGCAGGATTCAGGTTCCACTCTGATTTTTGAGTTCGACCAAGACCTCAACTTTGGGTCTCGACCACAACCTAAACTTGATTTTCCACCCCCCACCCGGGATCTAACCTCGAGTGGAGACTTGACTTTCATCTACGACCCCAACCTAAAACCTGACACTCGATCTAGATCTCACTTGAGACATACTCTTGAACCCTATCGGAAACCAACTCTCAACCCCAAGACTTGATTATTGACTCAACTCGAGATCCTGACCCAAGCCTCTGCTTTTGGTCCCAATCCAAAATCAGATTCCCGGTTAGAAACTCGACTTTTGACTACAATCATTACTAAACACTCAAGACCCAAGATCCAACCACGACTTGGGACTTGACTCTTGATCTTGCCCTTGAACCTAACTCCCAACTCCCAATTGGGCCCAAGATTCAACCACGACTTAGGATTTAACTCTCGATCTTTCCCTTGATCAAATTAAACTCCCGGCTCCCAATTAGGACCCAAGATCCAACCTCGATCCCTGGCCTGACTCTCGATCCAAAACTCGATATTCTACCTTAACATGAGTACTCTAAGGGCCTGTTTGGATTAATTACAAACGGTCAAAGTTACTTCTTAGTCATTTTTAGCTTTTGAGAGTACAAAGTTAAAAATCAAAAGTAGATCTCATACTTTTTATTTTTTTACTTAAAAATCATTTAAAGTTTGTTTTTTATTTTTTGATTTAAAGCTACTTTCTTCGGCCTATCCAAATAAGTTCAAACTCTCAAACCCAATTAAACCCCAACTCCCAACCTCAATTTGAGATCCAACCTCAACTCCGACCCAAGATTCAAGCCTCAAAACTGAAATCCTAACCTCGGCCTTGGACTTAACTCTCAACCCCGAATTAATACCCAACCCTACGCTGGGACTTAACTCTCAACCTTTATTTTGGAGTCAGGTTTTGAGTTGAGGTCGGGTCCGAAATTATGATTGAGAATCATGTCTCGAGTTAAGGTCCACTTTTGAGTTTGAGTCTGATTAGATAGTAAGATCGAAAAAGATTTTTGTAGAGTGTTTTCTTACTTTATCTTGGGATGTCATTTAACACTATAAAGATATTTTTCAAATCATTTAATTCAATAACGTAAAAAAAAGGTTTATTTTTCCTTTTTCCTTTTAAAATTAATTCATGATCTAAGGGAAGGGAGAACAGACGATCAGGTTAAGGTTGAATATTTTTATTTATTGATTTTTACTTCGTCTTTGATACACATATTGTGGCTTGAGTATATTAGAATTTCAAAGAAAAATTCATATGATGGATGATTTAAGCACTTTCTAAAAGATAAAATTTTATAATTATTTTTAGTTTTAAATTTATAAGTTTCGAATCATCAAAAAGTATATATATTAAAAAAAAAGAACTCCTAATCAAGGAATAACAAGTAAGTAAGAAGTGAAAAAAAGTTTTTTTAAAAAAAATTAAACATAAAAATAAATAAGGTTTTTAGAAAGAAGTAATATTAATTTAAGGGCTTAAAAAATATGCAAATATCCTCTGTGTAAGATAATAATATCTCTGCTATTCAAAAACTAAAATATATATATTCTCACACTTTAATAAAAAACTAAATAAAACACATGCCACAATTTTATTCATAAATTCAATATTTAATAAATATTATATTAATAAATAAAAATTATAACACATCAATATCCGTAGTATTTTCAATTCACAACGGTGACCTTATCACTACTCTCTTTGAAATAAGAAAAATAAAAATATAAAATTTACATGACACCTAACCTAAACACACAAGCTGTGATTGACGCGTGGCACTTTTGTGGTTCCCACAAGTCTTACGTGGTCCCACTCCTATTTATGGTTGCCTCTTTAGCCACGTACAAATTTTGTTGGAATAATATTTTTCTACAAAAAACAAAAAAGCTTTGTAATTTCGAATCTTCTTTTTATAGTAAATTCCTTTTAAGTACCCGTTCCGTTTAATAAAAAATAATTTAATTTGACTTGATTTATTTTTTTAAAAAAATAAAGAAGATTTTTAAATATTATAATTTTAAATTAAAATTATATTAAATCGTTCTTTAATTTTATAATTTTAAATATGCCATATAAAAAATAAATATTATTTTTCTTGACTTGAAATAAACTAAAAAGAAAAAAACGTCATTTATTATATATGAAACATTACAATGATAGAATGCTCCCATAAACAATAATTGCGTGAGGCTTTATTTTTCGTTTCAACACTTGAATGGTAATATTTATTTTTTACTTTTTTACTCATTTTCTTTCATTTTTTCAATTTTTTTTTACTAATGTAATAAATATCTAACTCCCAACTATATAAGTAACAATAATATAATTAATGAAAATACTTATAAATTGTTTTTGTCAATGAAAACATGCTCATGACTGAATATTAAGAAAAATCTTATTATTCAATTTTGTTAATGGCATAAGATTAACTAACAAAATCAAGTTTCTTAATTATTAGCATTTTTTCAAAAATTAAATTTATTCAAATTTATTATTTGATAGCTCTTTTTGTTTTGTCTTAGCCTTTAGTTTATATATGTGCCGTCATTATCTTAACATAAAATATCAGTTAATTTTTTTAAATCTTTTTACGTAGAATTCGTATAATAATAATAACAATAATAATAATAATAATAATAATGATAATAATGAATAGTTAACTTAAACGTTGTCGAAACCAATTGATTCTCGAAGAATAAATTAAGTATTTAAAATTTTAATTCAAAAGACTAAAATTTCACTATGTGATATTTGCTTTACCCTGCATAACTTTTTTAATTCGCTTATAAATTTGTCTTATTTGGCCTGTTTATCTCGTTAGTGTGTTTATTTTAAATTATAATATAATTAAGATGAAAAAATTATCTATAATTTTTAAACAAGATCAGAAATTGGCTTATTTTATTAAAAAACACAAGATCAAAAATTGATTTGC